CAAAGAAGATACAGTGACTAGAACTCAAGAATGGCCCAATTAAGTTTTTCCAGACTTAAAACTACCCAAAATCCAAATCAACATATGACAACAATCATAGGGATTAAAAACATACTCTTGAAATATCAAGCGAAGAATCACATGCCATATTGCAAACCCGTTAAAGAAAGAAAACAAGGACTACCGAATAAAATATATCAAAATCTTGCAGTTTCATCACCTGTCTTGGTCTCGGCTCCTATAATAAACATCATCATCCCGATCTCTAGTCCTCTCCCTTTTTTCGCTCCGGTCCCTGTGGCGGTCTCTGTGGTGACGGTCCCGGTCCTGGTCCCGATCTCTGTCCCTGCCCCTGTCTTTGTTGTATCCTTTCTCCCTTACCTTTTCCTTGCTTCTAGAAGACTCGCGCTTTCTATCTTTCTCGATGTCTAGACTAACATTCTGAAAATGTATAATAATAGCAATCACGTGAAATTAAACAGAAAGAGGCATTAACAGCGAAGGTAATTGTTGATTCTGCACAAACTACTTTCTGAATCCATCACTATCTTAGAAACTGGAAAGTGAATGAGAAAAATACTGCAATACCTTCATTGTTAGTGGTTAATAGTACTCAATTCAAATATTAAGAATGAAATTAATTCCAATTTCATTTCAATTCATGACCTAAAATGATGTACTTAGAATCTTTCATCAAATAATAGTACATATGGCATTTATATATGCATAGTTAACACGGGATTCTCGCCTACAAGTACATACACTTGCTTCACCGGGCTTAATCATAGTCATGGATGTTCCACGGCAATAATTATAACTACATCATTTTAAAGTTCATTAACTAAAACCACTAAACAGTAACAATCCTCACTCTATTCTGTTCATATTTCAACTCTCTTCTCCCAAATTTCTATTTCATAAGCAGAAATTCCCAATCCAAATAATCTTAATCACCAACACGGGACAAAAATCACAGATAAGCGATAGTATCTACGAAACAAATCTACTTAAAAATCTGACCAAGCACGCACCATAAGTATTCACAAACTATTAGCACCCAGACATGCACACACACACATGCAAACATATATACGTATAGATAACTGTGAGCTAGAGCGAAACCTGAGACTTGGAGTCTCTGTGATCATTGGAGCCACCGTGACTGGTGGTACGCGGCTTAGGGGAGGAGCCATAGTTGTCTAGATCTTCTCCGTTGGTCTCGTACGTCGCTTCGTAGTCCGTCATCTTTGTGAATTGAGTTTATCTTTTTTCTCTGTAGAAGTTTTAACTTTATTCCGATTGTTTTCTTGTGCCTTCTGCAAATTCCTGGGTTTTAACTTTATTCTGATTGGGAAATTTTTTTCTAGGGTTTCTCCGGTTGGCTTCTTTCATATATCACAAAACTTTGATTAGGCCTATGTTTGGTTTTCAGCTAAAAATGTTGATGTTAAGAATTAATTTTAGAGGAAATTACACCCACACCTGTTATTAGATATCCATTTTCATAATTCCTGATTTAAGTTTGATATTTCACTAATCAGGTTTTAAAGGAATTAAAAAAA